ATTGGTCAAGACTTTGGAACATAACAACTCTGATTTTAATTGAGGTAAAATGTTTAAACTTGATGTAGATGTTCATTAGGTGAATGTCTTGACTGAGTTCAATGATTAACATTTCCCGCTAGAGCTAAGCAATTTCATTGGTCGATGCTTTGGGACAAGATAATTTTGATTCTATCTGATAGAGATTGATGAAACTTAGTGTATAGTTGATAATCAGTTTGATTGCTGGATACTCTTGAAAAAGATAAATGTGCAATTAATTAATATATGTCATCTGTTTTGAGATTTCAGCGAGGGACATCAGCCTCAATGCTGACTTGTTTGAACTTCATCTAGCATATATTCCTTGCAAGTTCATTCTAAAAATTAGCAATTTTTTTTATATTTTGTAACGTTGTTATATTCAAAATCAAAAGTTTCATCAAACTAACTTGCATTTAAAGTTGATGTTAGATTTGAGAAAGATTTTAAAAAGAAGGTATTTAATTACTGTCAATATTCTGGTTAATTTTATTGATTAGACAATTTTAAACAGGTTGTACTTACAACACATTTATTGCTAATTTTGCCTATAAATGTATGTAATAATTTAATAAAAACTCTATCCTATCTGAAATATGTGTTTGTTAAATTTATGTGTAGGAAGACCTGACAGAGACTGGATTTGCTAGACACAGGAAAACACACTACTGTAGAGTTCAAGAATACTAATATTACTTTGAAAATATATTTATTCCGTTTCTGTTCTAGTCACCTCTAGTTATATCTATAAATGTTGGTACCATTCTTAATGCGGTTCACAAAGGCAGGTACTCGAATGGAAGCCAAAGTCTTCTCATTGCTGTAAGATGAATCACAACAGATAAAGGGTTTCTTTTGGTTTTAGTCTTGTATTGAAAATCTATTTCTGTTAAAAGCCCACATGGAAGTTCTTTGTGATAAAAGAAAAAAATTGAATGTTTTAAAATTTCAACAAATATTTGCATGTGTTAAAATTTCAACAAATATACTAAGCAGCAAAAGAAATGTCAGGGTGGTATGTTACTCTGAATAGATGCATTGCATAAAACTTGCCAAATGTTTTTATTGTATATTTGTGATCACTCCTCCAACTTTACCTGAGCAATAAGGCTCCTTTCCAAACACAAAATTGAACCCAGGAAATTTTCTCAAAAACGCAACCTGACTTCTGAGATGATAATGTGTTCTCCGTGATTTTTATGTAACTCATCCTGCACGTGCTGTTCACCGGACCAGCCCTATAAAATGCACCCCCATACCTGGTTGAATCATTCACACTACAATGTCGACAGGATGCCACGACAGCTCAGAGGAACCAGGCGCATGGAAAACTCGATGCTGGCCACACTGCCCAAGCCATTGCCAATCACTTCTAGGTCAATTTTCGGACCATCTTCAGACTTCAGCAACGCTTTCAGGCCATCAACACCACGGATAGTCGCCCCGAACTGGTAGACCAAGGGTTACCACAAGGCGACAAGACCGCCATGTTGTGCGACAGTACTTGCAGAATCCCTTCACACAGGCATCTGAGACAGCACGTCAGACAGTGGGAATACACGAAAGACCTATCAGTACCGATACAGTGCGCCGACGTCTCACCAGAGAGAACATTCATTGCCGTAGACCTTGCCGTGGACCGTTCCTTACCCCTCGCCATCGATGCCCAACAACACCAGAACTGGCGACACAGGCATTGGAGAACTGTTCTGTTCACAGATGAGAGTCGGTATTGTGTATCAGCTGCAAATGGCAGGACGAGAATATGTGTCGACGTGGCCAGCGTTATTCTGACCAATGTGACATGGAACGAGACTCATGGGGAGGTCCAAGCATAATGGTTTGGGATGGAATCGGCCTGAACCAGAGAGTGGGTCCTGTTGTGTTCCAAAATCTTGGTCCAGGGGGAAGAGGTGGCATCACAGCAGTGCACTACATTGATCAAGCTCTCAGACCCCACATCATACCACATTTCGCACGTCATCGAAACAACGTTTTCCAGCATGACAGCGCCTGTGCACACACCGCCAGAGTTTGGGATGAAATTCAGACGAGACTTAATAATGTCATACACAGACCAAACACAGCCGATGGATTGTGCCAGGCTTATCTGAGAGTGTGGTTCCACTCCATGTACAGACGCTGCACTGCTGTTATTGACACTCGCGGTGGACACACCAGATACTGATGTATAGACTGTGTACAGACTCTAAAACTTCTCGTAATGGCTTAGAATTGTGATGAATTAATCACTAATGTGGCAACATTTAGTAAGTCGTTTTTAAGAATGATTTGATTAAAGCCCCTTTCTGATTTTGAAATTGTACTGACGTTTATTTTTGCTGTTTAGTATATTTGCATGTGTCAAATATCTCCCTTATCCAACCTTATTCAGACTGTGTGTGTAAAATGTACAATGTGAGGAATACAGTAATGTGATTTTGGTACAGTAATGTTTACTGTACCACTTTTAACCCCCACTTACTAACTTTTACATGATTTGTCAATGACAACACTAGAATATAACCTACCTCTACTTCAGAGGTCAAAATAGTTTCAAACAATATTAGACCTCCACTTACTCGCTGTCTGCATGTGTTTCTCATGGAATCACTCCTAATAATTGCCAATCTTATTAAATGCCTTTATCTGGGTTAATCTGGTGTACTATATTGATTAAACAAGTAGTGCACCAAAAGAACCCTTAACAGTAGGCTGTCATGCAGTTGTCCAAGCAACATTTCCTCGATAGAATATGCCCTTTCTTCAATAACCCAGATGGATTAGAAAAGTAAGAAGTTAAATGCTACCCAATGAAAAAAAAAGAAGATAATCTAATCCACCACACTAAATGATTTGGTCAAGTAACCATCACCACAGGAATTATTTTTTTACCCCTTACAGAATTTATATTGAAATAAATCTAAATATCAAGTTAAATTAAATCTGCACATTTTAGTTGCTCTTTTAAATTCTAATGAATTTTAAAGTTTGAGTTTAGTTAGCTGAAAATAATGTATTTTTATAAATGAACTATCTTTAGTTGCTGGGTACATTAGATTTTTCTTCTTCAGTGGATTATTTCTTTCTTGTTGTTTATTTGCCAGACTATAAGGTCATAGTAATGATAACAGTATTGGCAAACCCTAAAATAATTTAATTTGTCAGTATGCTCAGTAACTGACTTATTATACTAGTGGAGATCATAATAATATGTCCAATTTCACATACGGATATTGACTTTTACATACACTCATTATCATTGATTCAAATGGATTGTTAGTGTGACATGCTCCAGGCTGCTATTACTATTTCCATATTTAGAAGTCCATGATATTTTCACAAGAAGTAATTATGTATGTATGGCCATATAAAGTAGGGCAATAATTAATGTCACTGTTCTGATTGTTGGTTAATGTCATTCAAATCCCAAAAAACCTTATAGGTGTATGTTACTTCTGTATAGAATTCATTTCAGTCCATTTATTTTTGGAGAAATTTATTTCTATTATTTAAAATTATTTCACATATAGTCATTATAGTTTTAAAGGAGTAGGGCATCTTTAATTACATAAAGGATGGAATGAACTTGGACTGGTTTGTTATTTGGTTAGTATTGGGTCAAGCTCTATATAAATAAATCTTATTTTGTTAGAGTAGTGCGAGCTTAGTCCTTTTCAGTGTCATTAAATATCTGAACATGAAATCAGTTATTTCTCAAATTGCATCATCTGTGGATCTAAGTGTTTTAACAAAGAAAGATTTTCATTTGGCAGAATACATCAATGTATAAAAGGGAATCAAATCAACAGTTTTATTTTTTATACGCCCACATGGAAATGTGGACGTAATTGCCGTCGCCCCGGTCTGTCTATCTGTCCATCATCCACAATTTCTCGTGAACGCTCTAACGCCAAAAGTTATCATCCAGTTGTTTTAAAATTGATATATGTTGTTTACATTAGTGAGATGAAGAATCCTATTTAATTTCAATTATTTCTGTTAATTTCTTCTGGATTTATTTTGTTGCACCTTGTGAATGCTCTAACGACAAAAGTTATCAACTGATCTGTATGAAATTTATATGCATCATTTAAATTAGTAAAACAAAAAATCCTATTATGTCTAGAGTTATGGCCCTTGTTTTGCTTTGTTGAACCGTGTGAATGCTCTAATGCCAAAATGTAACATCCGAAATTTATATGCAATATTTGAATTAGGGAAACGAAGAAGCCTATCGAAATTCAGCAATTTCCATTCATTACTTCTAGAGTTATGGCCCTTGTTTACTTTGTTTAACCTTGTGAACACACTAACGCCAAAAGTTATCATCCGATCTTTCTGAAATTTATAGGCATTATTTATTGAATTTCAGCAATTTCCGTTTATTATGCCTAGAGTTATGGCCCTTGTTTCACTTTATTGAACCTTGTGAATGCTCTAACATCAAAGGTTATCTGCGGATCTGTATGAAATTTACATGCGTCATTTAAATTAGTATTGAATTTCAGCAATTTCACTTTGTTCAACCTTGTTAATGCTCGATGGAGGAAAGTTATCATCCGATATGTATGAAATTTATATGCATCATTTAAATTTGTGAAACAGAGGTCTATTGAATTTCAGCAATTTCCGTCAACAATTTCTAGAGTTATGGCGGTTGTGAACATCTGATCTGTATGAAATTTATATGCATTATTTAAATTAGTAAAACGAAAAAGCCTGTCAAATTTCAACAATTTCTGTAAATTACTTCCAGTTGTAGAACCTTGTATGGAACTGTCTTGTAAAGGCCCCCAATTACCTACAAAGGAATAAATATGCGAAAACCCTTGTCGAGCGCTCGGCCGATTAAGCTGCTGTAGGCGTATGTTTCGTTGCCTGGAAACCTATCTTTTATATTTTATGGTTATTTGAATAAAATTGGAGTAATTTAAAACCTAAAAATTTTATTTAAAAAGTTTCTGGTTTTTATTCAGATGAAGACAAAGAATCGCAGTTTGACACTAAAGAAAAAACTACAACAGCTACTACCACAACTACAACAACACTACCAAGCACAAATAAACGTGAAATAACTACAACACTAACATCAGAAACTACAACTAAGGAAGTTAAGTGTGCAGTTTCAACATTGCTTAATTTTTACAGTGGTGCAACAAGTTTCGGTAACACAGATGCAAGTTATGCCCAAATTAAAGTCCAACGTAGAGATATTTCGAAAAGGTAATTTTTCTAATTTTAAAATTGTAAAATGATAAACCATTGGGTTCGAATAAATACAAAATAGTGAACTTTAATTTACAAAACAATGTATTACCATATTTGTCTTGATTAATGTTCTCTATTTTCAGTTTCAACATTTCCTTTGATTTTCGAACCTTTTACCCAGATGCTTTATTTGGATTTCTGACCAATGCCGACCACTCTGACTATATTGCTGCGCAATTAAAAGATGGTTATATACATGTGTCATATATACGTTCAGGTCCTTACAGCACAAGTTCTAATAACAAATATGATGATGGCCAATGGCATTCTGTAAGTACTGTATAACACTTTTATCATGTAAAAAGTCGGTACAGATATCTTCAATGCTAAGCAAAGGCTATTTACAATTTTATTTTTGAAAATCACTTATTCTAAGTTCATTATACTCACTATATTATTAGTTTATTCTCATTATTATATCAATAGAATTCCAAAAATAACATGTGGAGGAAGGGGTACCTTACAGCTGACATTTTTGTAAGCAAGATTATAGGCATACATTATAAATAAACAGTACTCAATAGACTTACGTAGAATTATTAATAACCAACAAAGAAAAATAAGAGAAATACAATACCAAATCATTTATACTACCTGTTAATAAACAGTTGGGTTGTTAGTTTTTCATAAAGACCATAGAAAAAAAACAACCAAGTAAAGCAACATGATATGCACTTTTACTTCTCAAATACTTCCTTTCCTATTTAAAAAAAAACCCCTAAGAACTATGCGTTGTAAATCTGTTTCTTATGTGTTGTAATGTTTCTTGTATGTTGTTCTAAGTGTAAATATGAAATTATTCCTATAAAAAAGTGAGGTGGAAATTCACAATAATTTTAATCATTTTGTTATACGCCCACAGTCTACAGGTCACAATTTTTTTTATACGATTTTGACAAAACTTGAAATATAGGGTTTATCTCCCAAATATCTTGGTTCCTTTCAATATTGGCATGTATCAAACAGTAACTTCATGCATTATGGCCCCTGATATGAAAAATCACATTTTTTTTTTAGCTTGTTCTCTATCCATCTCTTGCAAAATGTGGGCGTATCTTGCATGGCAACTTCATGTTCCATTTATATTTTTATTGTTTACTGAGAACATCTTGGTCTAATGCACAAATTGTAATCAGATGATTCCAATTGTCAAGACATTTGACAGACCGAGAATGCATTTCTTACACATCCTTAGATGTGACCCTTCAAATAAACAAAAGGAAATAATATGTGATGTCAATTAGATAGGTGGTATATAATGTTCTAAAGTATACGTTTATTTTTTTTGTAGGTATATATTACTAAAGACAAAAGAGATTTAGCTTTTATAGTAGATGGAGTTGAAACTAGGCAAGGTAGAATCAGAGCTAAGTTAGATATAGATGCTCCTATATATATAGGTGGTCTACCTGATGATTTTGAACATTCTAATACAGAAGTTGTAAGTAATTTTTATAGGATCACATGGAAATGTGGTGGTATATTGCCATCGCCCCCGTCCGTCTGTCTGTCTGTCTGTCTGTCCGTCCATCGTCCACAATTTTTTGTGAACACTCTACAGACTACATTTATCATCTGATTGTTTTTAAATTGATGTTGTGTACATTAGTGAGATTGTTTTTAAATTGATGTTGTTTACATTAGTGAGATTGTTTTTAAATTGATGTTGTTTACATTAGTGAGATGAAGACGCCTATTTAATTTCAATAACTTCTGTTAATTTCTTCTGGATTTATTTTGTTGCACCTTGTGAATGCTCTAACGACAAAAGTTATCAACTGATCTGTATGAAATTTATATGCATCATTTTAATTAGTAAAACAAAAAATCCTATTAAATTTCAGCAATTTCCGTTAATTACATCTAGAGTTATGGCCCTTGTTTCACTTTGTTGAATCTTGTGAACGCTCTAATGACAACAGTTATCATCCGATCTGTTTGAAATTTATATGCATCATTTAAATTAGTGAAACGAAGAAGCCTATTGAATTTCCATTAATTACGCCTTGAGTTATGGCCCTTGTTTCATTTGTTGAATTTTGTGAATGCTCGAACGCCAAAGTTATCACTCAATCTGTGATTTAAATTAGTGAAATGAAGAAGCCTATTGAATGTCAGCAATTTGTGTCAATTACTTCTAGAGCTATGCGCCTTGTTTTACTTTGTTGAACCTTGTGAACGTTCGAACGACAAAAGTTATCATCCGATCGGTATGAAATTTATATGCATTATTTGAATTAGTAAAACGATAAAGCCTGTCGAATTTCAACAATTTCGGTAGATTACTTCCAGTGTTATGGCCCTTGTTCTAGTTTTAAGAACATTGTGAACCCTTAAATGACGCAAATTATAATGTCATCTGTATGAAATTGTCTATTAAATGCCCCCAATTACCTACAAAAGAATAAATATGCGACAACCCTTGTTTACCGCTCAGACGATTTAGCTGCTGTGGGCGTATGCTTTGTTGCCTGGCAATCTATCTTTACATCAGTTGTATGCAAATTTTGTCTATGGATGTTCAAATTAAAAACCCACAGTTTGCAAGGTTTATGATATTTGTTTTTCATTTTAACCTGAACAGCAGATCATCATATTGTAGTGGACATGATTTTAGACATATAAAAGTTTATTGTATGATATTAAATCAGTTTTTAAGACACACACCAGATTAACATGTCATATTTTAGGCAAATAATAGTTTGCAGGGTTCTATTTGCATTTGTGTATTTCAAGTACATAACACCGTTCGACTTTCAGGGAATGTAGCTCGTCGACATGTGTTCTCTAAGTATCAGAAATGAATACAGATTCTTGGAATGGATCTTCAACACTTTATTTCAGGAGCAAATAATTAACAGAAACAATTTAACAACTTATAATTTCCTATGTATCGGACCTCCAACTAGTATATAGGTTCCCTAAGCTGGTCTCTCCAACTAATATCCTCATCTAACATACATTTGTCTATTTATACAAATCAGTTACTTAGAAAGTGTTGACATAAACATATAATAATTGAAGGATTAAGACTTAAGGCATTTAAAAAAAATAGTTAGATGAGACTTAACAGATCAACCACTTTAGTTGCCAGCCTGTCATAATTTGACTGACAGGTTAATTGCTGCCTGCCTCTAATGACTAACCAAACATTAATGAAAATTAAAATATAGATTTGAAATTTAAAACAGAATTGAAAAATAATAAAATAACATATGACCTAGACATCGGTCATATATCCCCCTTACTTCAAACAAAAACATGACTCCATTTTTTAAGCATGTAATAAAATCAAAAATCCTTATTTTTCGATTAATCAAAGTAACATAATCTATCCCTTTTTTCATGATAATAATTTCTGTTTCTGTACATAGGATTCATGTGAGACATAAAATAATGTTCTTGCAAATTGTACTGGTTAACTTTTTCATCAGGTAAACGTAACCTGGGTCCTTGTATTCTATTTGAATTCGCATTTATGTATTGTTGAGCACTATAATCTAGTTCCTCCTCCAGAACCCAAGAATTCGAAGTTGCTGGACAATTCTTCCACTAAATGAGATATTCTTGTTTTATGTTCTTAACTCTTTGTCGGATACTTGTACAGGTGGATTTGTTGAACAAATTCCTACATGTCGATGGTGTTGCCTGCTGGTACTTTTGGCACTAGAACTTGAAACATCTTTCATCGCTGCCTCACTGTCAAAATTTATTTGACAACCTTTATCATGGCTATTGGCAGGATGACACATTGTTTCTCTTGTCACCATTAACACAGGGTTATTCCAAACAGCCACATCTTTAGTATCAGGAACATTTTGGACACCCAGGTCCATGTCAAAATCCCTAGGTCAAAACCCTCTTGGTCAAAACCCCCCAGGTCATAACCCCCTTGGACTCGTATAAAAAATGGACAAAACACCCCCTTTTTATTTTTTTATTAATTTATTTCCTTTATTTATTATTATTTAAAAATAAATATCTGAAAACTAAAATATTATTATTTAAAAAAAAAATATGATGACCAACTAAGACAATTGACCACACAATTAACATAACATAATCTGCTTTTTACTAGGAATAACATAGCCTCAGTTATTGTAATCATTCAAGTGAAAAGCAATTATCTGATCAATCTCAACTGAAGTCATGGCGCTACAATTTAAAATCTCCTATACCCAACTCTATTCCCAGCAGAACTCTGGAACGTTCATCTGACCAACACATGGTGGTGGGTCTCGCACTAACAATCTATGCGAGTCAGTTCCCTGCTGGGAATATCAGACCACACAATCTGGCGGGCTCTCGAACATCTCCATCTGGATCACAGCAATGTCAAGACTGCACTCCTGCAATACTCACGCGGACAACCACCAAAAAACAACAGAAGATCTACAAGAAAGACTTTACAACTTGTGTGCAAACCATAAAAGGTATTGGGCACACCATCCGATGGAAATAATTTCACCAATATAATTGCAAATAAAATATAAAAATAATCGATTTTGTTGTGTACTTCACTTCACAAACCACAAAAACATAATTTTGAAATGATTTTAATATTATATAATAAAAAAAATGGGGGGTTTTGACCAGAGGGGGTTCTGACTTAAAGGGGTTTTGACCTAGGGGGGTTCTGACCTAGGTCAAAACCCCCTAGGGGGTTCTGACCGGAGGGGGTTTTGACCGTATCCCTGGACACCCACATCCTTTTTACTGGAGACCACAGAAATCTGTACTTTTTGGGCATCCTTCTTAGCAAAAAATTCTAGCTGTCGCTGTCTATCCCTTTGTCTTTTGGCAAAAGAACGATATTTCTTTTCCGGACGGGGTAATGAATTTTCTGAGAAGCCCCATTTAAAGCTGATTTCTATAGAACCCCTATCCTGTTTAAGACTCCAAGACATTGGTAGTTGATTCAGATTTCTTATTGCTGCTACTGCTGCTGAAGGAAGAATAAAGTTGATATACATCCCTTCTTCCAAATATGTTTACAATTTATCTCGCTTAGCTGTACCGGAATCAAGAGTAGACAATTTTGTTTACTCTACCCGGCATCTCCACCATATAACATCGTTCGACTTTCAGGGAATGTAGCTCGTCGACGCGTGTTCTCTAAGTATCAGAAATGAATACAGATTCTTGGAATGGATCTTCAACACTTTATTTCAGGAGCAAATAATTAACAGGAACAATTTAACAACTTATAATTTCCTATGTATCGGACCTCCAACTAGTATATAGGTTCCCTAAGCTGGTCTCTCCAACTAATATCCTCATCTAACATACATTTGTCTATTTATACAAATCAGTTACTTAGAAAGTGTTGACATACCAAGTATATATTAGTTTTATAATGATATTTTGTATATCAAGTTTTATAATGATATTTGTATACCAAGTATATATTAGTTTTATAATAATATGAGTACTTCAAGTACATAATAATTGTATAATATTATTTGTATTTTTAGGTGCGTAATAGTTTACGAGGTTGTATGAAGAATCTAATCATCAATAAAGACCAGATAGATTTAGCAGATACTAAAATCATCAGTGGTGTAGGACAGTGTTATAGAGATGTTGAAAAAGGAGCATATTTTACTGGTACCTCATGGGGAGCTTATTGTAAGTTTGTGTGTACCGTAGAGAAATAATATCTTTGTCACAATACCTTATGCCTTTATGAAAGGACTGTTACATAGGTAAAAACCACTGTGAAATATAAACAGCTTTATCCTCCTGGTTTATTCACTATTGTTTCAGTCCTAGCTGTGCTTGCCACTTGAAAGAAATAGTAAGTAAGCTAAATACAATATACTTTTATATTGAAGACAATAATCTGATCTCTTACAGCAAACAATGTGAGGGTAAAGAAAGATTTTAGTATCGAGTTATATTTTAAAACTCAGAAATCAAATGGTGTTCTTCTTACTAGCAGTACAGACGATCTTCAATCAGCTGTTGCCATAGAAATAGTTAATGGACAGGTAAAATCTTTTTACTTTTTACTGATATACTGTTCTTTATATACCTAAATATAACAGATTCAACTTTCACATTATTAAAGAAGAAACAGACTACAACAATATAATTATGTTTTAACCCCTTTAAGCCAACTGGCTGTAAATATGCCGAATGACTGGTATTCTAGCCTGGCCATACTCCTCGCAGTGTTTCGTTTGATTAGAGCTAATCCCACATAACACTGCTGTACAGTAAGCAAATTTCTGTTTCAAATTATGACTGGTCAATAGTCCGATTAACAACCAATAGCTAACTGCATAACAATATCATTACGCTTTAAACAGAGTTCCAAATTGGACCAAATATATTTACGTCATGACTTGGGATTTTATTATTCCCAATTAACCAGTGCATAGCAGAATATTGCAGAAAAACTAATTATGTGACAAACGAGGCTATCAACACGGATACAATGTAAACAATACTGTTAGGAGATGAACATACTTTCACCGTTTTAAATACCTTAAATCACTGTCCAAAGTTTAATGGAAGATCCCAGATTAAACGAAGGGCTGTCAAGTTGCTGTACTTGGGATAGATTTGATTGAACGGGAAGAACAGACACACTCCCTCAAAAGATCAAGTATCAGAAACCAATCCAGCAATGGCTAAAGAGGGATTTCTTGGGCCATTGCTTCAGGAATATGTAACCTGGCATGACACATTAGGAATTCCTGTCTGTAGTGAGGACTTTGCCTCTGTCACTTTAGGAAACAACTCAAATATTCCTGAAAATATTATTGTTTTACGGCATGGATGAAAGGTTGAAATTCTTGGTACAGATCCTACAGAGGGAAATTTTGTCAACACCAGGGTAGAACTTGGGGATTCATGGTTAGTGAGCCAGCGCCTTACTCACACTGAGGCACCGTGGCTCCCTTATAATAACAAATTACCACGGTACTCATTTTGTAAAGATAGAACATTTGCATTCTGAAATATTTATTGGATTTACTATGATTCTTGATATAAACTTCTTTCTTGCTCGTTTTCTAGGTAAAGTTTACAATGAAGAATGGAGGTTTTTTTATAACTGTTCAATCAAAGATAAGAAAAGAATTTCATTATTGTGACAAAAAATGGCACAGGGTTCAAGCCAGATTGTTTGAATCCAATTTAGGTCTTAGGATAGACAAAGACCCAGAGAATATAGCTTCCAGTTCTGAAGAATTTCAATATTTTGAAACCCGCTCACCTCTTATTATTGGTGGAATAGCGAGTAAGTTGAACCATTCTGATTAAATTAAATGTTTGTGCAGGTAATAAACTTGGTTGAAGAATTCTTTTTTGGTTTTAATAGTACAACTTTGTCAAATTGTCTGAGACACTAGCCAACCGGCCAGGGGCATACATATCGATTTTGTTTTTAGGGGGGGGGGGGCGGTGTTTAGCAAAAATGAGACCTACTGATGCACAGGTCTCTATATGAGTGATGCAGCCACAAGCCGAGCACCGCAGGTGTGAGTTTCCTAGGGAGATCTGGGGGCACGCTCACTCGCAGAAATTTTTGAATCTAGATCATTTCCTTGACTTTGGGGGAAGATTTTACAGGATTTTAATGGTCATAAAAGACTTATACCATGAGTAAAATTGAGTACTACGCATGGGAATACATGTTATTTATTTAGAATTTTGCAAGAACGTACTAAGTACTATAAATTTGTGACAAAAGTTTTATCGTGTTACACATGATCATACTTGGCTCAAATTTAAATAATTTGTGCCCCTGGAACCGACCCAGACACACTTCAAGAACATGATCGGCCCATTATTCATTAATTGCTTTGTTGTAATATTTTAATACGCCCACATTTTCATGTGGACGAATTATGCCGTTGCCCCTGTTTGTCCGTCCGGACGTCCATCCACATTTTTTTTGTGGACACTCTACAGGTCACAATTTTTATCTGATTTCAACTAAACTTGAAATATAGGTTTATCTCCCTAAGATCTCGGTTCCTTTTGATATTGGCATGTATCGGACCGTAACTTCATGGATTGTACGAAAAATCACGTTTTTAGCTTGTGAACCCTATAGCGGTCATAATTTTTATCCGATTTAAAAAAAACCTTTGAATATATCACCGTTACACCCTAAGGATGGTTGAGTTAGAATTTCGACAAAATGGCCGCCCCTCGTACTCAAATAGCGTAAAAATATGGTATATCAATGTTATGGACCCTCTAGAGGTCACAATTTTCTTCTGATTTTGATGAATCTTAAATGTAAATTTATAACCCAAAGATCTTGGTTCCTTATGATATTCGCGCATATCGGATTGTAACTTCCGGAATTATGGCCCCTGATTGTACGAAAAATCACGTTTTTAGCTTGTGGACCCTATAGAGGTCATAATTTTTATACGATTTAAAAAACGTTTCAATATATCAGTATTACACCGTAAGGATGGTTGATTGTACGAAAAATCGCGTTTTTAGCTTGAGGTCCCTCTAGATGTCACAATTATCATCCGCTTTAAAAACCGTTCAAATATATCACCGTTACACCGTAATGATTATTCAGTTCGAATTTCGTGAAAATCGGACCAAAACTGCCGGACAAAATGGCTGCGTCTCGTATGCAAATAGTGTATAGGATCTGGTATGAAACTTAAAATAGTATGTTTATAACCCAAAGATATTGGTTGCTGTCGATATTTGCACATATCGGATCGTAACTTCCTGAATTACGGTCCCTGGTTGTACGAAAAATCGCATTTTTAGCTTGTGGTCCCTCTAGAGGTCACAATTGTTTTCTGAATTAAAAAAATGTTTGAATATATTAGCTTGTGGTCCCTCTAGAGGTCACAATTATTATCTGATTTAAAAAAACGTTTGAATATATCACCGTTTCACCGTGATGTTTGAGGAAAGTTGTAATACATGTTTATAACCCAAAGATCTTGGTTCCTTTCGATATTCGCGCGTAATGGGCTGTATCTTCCTGAATTATGGCTCTTGAATGTAGAAAAAATCACGTTTTTAGCTTGCGGTCCAAGTAGAGGTCACAATTTTTATCTGATTTAAAAAAAAAACTTGTGAATATATCACCATTACAGACTAAGATCTTGGTTCCTTTGAATAATCGCATATATCCTAACTTAACTTCCTGGATTATGGCTCCTGATTATGGCTCTCTAGAGGTCATAATTTTTTTTTCCGAATTTCAAAACCATTTAAATATATTACCATTCCACCATAATGAAGGTTGAATTCAAATTTTGGGAAAATGGAAATAAAACTGACCGACAAAATGGCCGCTCTTTGTACGCAAATTGTGCAAAAGTATGCTACGAAGGTTGTGGACCCTCTAGAGGTCACAATTTTTATCCGATTTTGATGAAACTTAAAACATATCTTTATATCCCAAAGATCTCTGTCCCTTTTGATATTTGCACATTTCAGACCATAACTTTCTGGATTATTGCCCCTGATTGTACAAAAAATCCTGTTTGTTTTGAGCTTGTTCTCTATCCATCTCTTGCAAAATGTGGGTGTATCCTTCCTGGCAGCCGCTGGTTATCACACCCAGTACAATTCAGGTGTGAGGTATGCCTGTGGGTAAAAATTTCCTAGATTTACAATGCATTATTATCTTTCCAGTACTTGTAGCTCAATGTCCTACAAAATCTTAATCTTGCTCTTCCGGGCTAGCAGTTGATTTTCGATAAGTCTCATTTGATTGTTATATTTATTTACAGGAATATTTTCTGCACAAGGAGCAACATCTATTACAGTTGGCTATACTGGGTGTATGCGTGATATAACTATAGATAATCAACCTATAGGCTGGTATGATCTGATAGATTTTAATGGTATAAGACGAACAGCTTGTCCACAACAATAAATAAATAATACATATCAATTAACAATCACTAATGAATTATAATTAAAATTAGTTTAATCTTTATCAAAATAAAATAATATTTAAAGAATAAAATTTTTATACACAAGATTTAAATCTTTATCATGTTCTAGTTTTCTTTGTGTGGTTACATAAATTGTCAATAAATTATGGTTGTACAGTGCACTCTGTCACATCCGACATCGTACAGGATCGTAATGTCCGATTACGCAGAGTATCGGAATACCCAGTTTTCTCAAAACCGGAAATATTGTAACTTCAAAAACCGGAAGTATTATTATAATGTAGCTTCGAACATAAAACTTTGAATCACCAGAATATTATTCCCTTTAAAAATGATAAACCTTTCTGTACATTCAAAATTTTATTACATTAATTTTTATTTCATTTAGCATGCGTAGGCATTTTGGATAGGTCAAGTCTGTTGTAAATTTATCTTCTTCGCTGTCTTCAGTTGATCACACTCTTATTCTTATCTTTGCTATCACGTGTTCATTGATAATGGGCGTACTCGATTGAACGTTCCGGAATTGAATTCTCTCAATCCCCAAAATTGTGACAATCGAGTGAAAATGGGTACTTCGGGCTACAACGTATGGATATATAAATATCTCATCCAACCATGCAGCCGAAACCTGTTCGTCGTGTTTAATTACGTCACAATTTTACTCACACCAACTCCGTCGTCGGGACTGACAGAACTGTGACAGGACTGAATTCTGCGTCACTCGATTGCAATTATGTCAATTCGGGACGTTCCGGGCTGTGAATCGAGCATCCCCAGGTCGTCGTCACACGGTTCAAAGAGATCCGTAGGGTGACCAAACTTATAGGTTATTCAGGTTCAATCGGCATGCGCAACGAATGTTTCCAACAGGTGCTAGGAATATTTTTACGACTGAATTCGGGGGAAAATTCGTTGATATTTTTGAGTATTTTAACAACTGTCGTTACAAGAGATTAAAATTATCAAAGTAATCAACAAAGACCCGCGGTAGCGAGTTTTATCTCACAGATAATGAATTGATTGGTGATTGCTTGTTAATTATTTGTGACTTCACACCCATCCAGTTTTAATCTTACGGATAATTTATTGATCGGTAAGTGTTTGCTTCACACCCACCGATTGAAGGCCGGATTATACGGTGTCGATTCAATGGAAATCGTATGACGGGACGGCTAATTGATGTCGTAATCCGGAACGTACAGAGGTCGAATTATCCAGAGATTTTTTGGCTGAAGTAATAAGGAAATAAATCGGGACATGAAAATGGTGTCGGATGTAACAGAGTGGAAGTGATCAGAGTTCGGTTGTGACAGAGTACACCGTATATTGTTCAATAGGGGTGTTTATTGGGGTGGGTGAAGGTAGCGGGAGAGAGAGGAAGGATAGGACAGCAATCCATCTATTTGTTCCTACTGGCAGTAATCAGTGACACTAATTTAAGATGCAAAATTACACGAGTCTGTCAGTTTTCATCAAGTTACCTGGTCTCAGTTTTGTTGTCAAGACTCTCTACCCAGTTTGGCCCAGTTCCTTAGATATATAGAGAATCTCCTACCAGTCTTTTTATACGCCCACATTTTTATGTGGACGTATATTGTCGTTGCCCCTGTCTGTCCGTCCGTCCGTCCGTCCACAATTGTTTGTGAACACTCTACAGGTCACAAATTTTATCCAATTTCAATGAAACTTAAAATATAGGTTCATCACCCTAAGATCTTGTTTCCTTTCAATATTGGCATGTATCGAACTGTAACTTCATGGATTATGGCCCTTGATTGTACGAAAAATCGGATTTTGATGAAACTTGAAATGCTTCTTTATAACTTACAGATCTCGGTTTCTTTCGATATTCGCGTATATCAGACCATAACTTCCTGAATTATGGCCCCTGACTGTAGGCAAAAACGCATTTTTAGCTTGTGGACCCGATAGAGGTCACAATTTTTATCCGATTTAAAAAACCATTACAATGTATCACCGTTACACCCTAAGGATGGTTGAGTTTTAATTTCGTAAAAATCAGACCGAAACTGAAGGACAAAATGGCTATCCCTCGTTTGAAAATAGTGTCAGAATATTGTGATCTGATTTTGATGAAACTTGAAATGCATCTTTATAACCCACAGATCTCGGTTTCTTTCGATATTCGCGCATATCAGACCATAACTTCCTGAATTATGGTCCCTGATTGTACGAAAAATCAGACCAAAACTGCTGGACAAAATGTGCGCCGCTCGTACTCAAATAGTGTAAACATCTGGTAAATCAAAGTTGTGGACCCTTTAGAGGCCACAATTTTGATCCGATTTTGATGAAACTTGAAATGCAAGTTTATAACCCAAAGATATCAGATCGTAACTTCCTCAATTATGGCCTGTGATTGTACGCAATTTCACGTTTTTAGCTTGTGGGCCCTCTAGAGGTCACAATTATTATTCGATTAAAAAAAACGTTTGAATATATAACCGTTACACCGTAAAGTTTGTTGAGTTCAAATTTAATGAAAATCAGGCCAAAACTGCGGGACAAAATGGCCGCCGGTTGTTCGCAAATAGTGTAAACATCTGATAAATCAAGGTTGTGGACCCTCTAGAGGTCACAATTTTGATCCGATTTTGATGAAACTTGAAATGCAAGTTTATAACCCAAAGATATCAGATCGTAACTTCCTCAATTATGGCCTGTGATTGTACGCAATTTCACGTTTTTAGCTGGTGGGCCCTCTAGAGGTCACAATTATTATTCGATTTAAAAAAACGTTCGAATATATAACCGTTACACCGTAAAGTTTGTCGCGTTCAAATTTCATGAAAACCAGGCCAAAACTGCCGGACAAAATGGCCGCCGGTTGTTCGCAAATAGTGTAAACATCTGATAAATCAAGGTTGTGGACTCTCTAGAGGTCACAATATTGATCTGATTTCGATGAAACTTGAAATACATGTTTATAACCCAAAGATATTGGTTCTTTTCGATTTTCGCGCATATCGGATTGTAACTTCCTGAATTATGACCTTGATTGAACAAAAGATCGCGTTTTTAGCTTGTGGTCCCTGTGGAGGTCACAATTTTTATCCGATTTAAAAAAAAACCGTGTGAATATATCACCATTACTCACTAAGATCTTGGTTCCTTAACTTAACTTCCTGGATTATGGTCCCTAATTGTTCAAAAAATAGCATTTTTAGCTTGCAGATTCTCTAGGGGTCACAATTTTTTCCCGATTTTAAAAAACGTTTAAATACATTACCATTCCATCATAATGAAGGACATTGAAGGTTGAATTCGTATTTCGGGAAAATCGAAATAAAATGGTAAATTGTGTAGAAGTGTGTAATACGAAGGATGTGGACCTTCTAGAGGTCACAATTTTTATCCGATTTTGATGAAACTTAAAACATATCTTTATATCCCAAAGATCTCTGTCCCTTTTGATATTTGCACATTTCAGGCATAACTTTCTGGATTATTGCCCCTGATTGTACAAAAAATCATGTTTCTTTTTAGCTTGTTCTCTATCCATATCTTGCAAAATGTGTAAGACACTGGCTCTCACTAAGCAGAAGGTCATCAGGTATTTCCAGCCTGGTTTCCCCCTTGTCAGTGGTGCAATGGCTTGGCAAGGAACGATGTCTTGTTTGGATAACAAACCGAGATCCCATGGACAGTTGGAAACTCTGCTGTCTCGGCAAGATTTCCCTCATATTCATAGCACACTGCATGGCATATGCCTGTCTTCCTTAGTGTGATTAAAGCAGATAAGATAGTTGTGGCACAACCACCAGAACCATGACCGATTCATGGAAAACAAGGTTTAAGAATGGTTTTTGATATAGAAGGGACCCTATTGAAAATATGTGTACTTTTCGCGCCAATATCTGTTGCCAGTTTGGATTTTGTGTGCATATTGGATCAACCGTTTGTAAGATAAATTATTGGAAGCTGTCCACAATGAGTGCGGTGACCCACAAAACCTATAGGTGATATATTACACAGGTCATTTCACCAACTATGTTTGTTTAAGCTCAATTTCAGACCATTTTGGCAGCCATCATGGATTTTCTGATCTCCTGAAGTTAGCCTGTAGTTTACAGAAGTAGCTAACAATAAATATCTTAACTAGGGTTCCTTCTATCAAAAACCATCGTCAAACCTTGTTCCCCCAGAAATTGTCATATTTCATTTTGTTCCATAAACCCGAAAGGATGTTTTTTTACCGATATATAGTGATAGAACTGTTAAGAGGGTTTAAAAATCTCAAAACTCCCCATACCCCCTGCTGGTTTACTAATGACCTTCCGACCTATGGTTGTTTATTTTGGTGCTTCCTGCAGCAGTTACAAAATCTTAGCCTCCTTACCGGCCATCTCACCACACATGGTAAATGTTAGTGTGGCAATTATCTTCTTTTCGGGAGCAGGACAATTGTCGACTGGACAACTGCCGACGACGATATTATTTGTTTTTATATGCCCACATTTTCGTTCGTCCGTCCACAATTTGTTTGCGGACACGCTACAGGTCACAATTTTTACTGATTTTGAAGAAACTTAAAATATAGGTCTATCTCCCAAAGATATCGGTTCCTTTCGATATTCGCATATATTGGACCATAACTTCCTAAATTATGGCCCCTGATTGTACGAATAATCACACTGTAGAGGTCACAATTTTCATCTGATTTTGATGAAACTTGAAATGCATGTTTATTACCCAAAGATCTTGGTTCCTTTCGATATTTGTGCATATCGGATCACAACTTCCTGAATTATGGCCCCTGATTGTACGAAATATCGCATGGTTGCTAATGATGGCTGAGATCGAATTTCGTGAAAACTGACGGACAAAATGTCCACCCCTCGTAAGCAAATAGTGTAAATATATGCTATATCATGGTTGTGGATATGGTGGCTGATAGTGGCCATGTTAAATCTCGCCTTTTTCATAACGCGACAACACGACATCACGACAGTATTGGCGCAATCATACAACACTTAACTCTGTCGTATCATCGTGTTATTTTTATCCTAACGTCGAGATGTCGACTTATTGGCATAGTCTCTTTCTACAAGTCACAAAAATACAGCTG